CATCCCTTGTCAAGCCTTCAGGAATATTTGGAAAGTTTCTTCAAGTGTCATCTTCTCAGAATATCCCAGAATTCAAAAGTTCTTTTGAAATCAACTTGTTACCATAAAGGATATAGTGATGTACATGGGATCCTGTCTACCTTTTACCTCTGTCCTCACACAGCTGCTTAAGGCTTTTCTTTCTTCATTTTCTGTAATTTCTACTGTGATAACCTATTTGTGTATTTGATAATAGGATTCAGCTTCCTTCCTTCTTGCCCTCCTCCCTCCCTCCCATCATTCCTTCCTTTTCTCTCTCTTTCTTCCTTTTGCTTGACAGTCTCATGGAGCTCAGGCTGGCTTTTTAATTCATTATGAGGCTGGCCTTGAACTCCTGATCGTCCTGATTCCACTTTCCAAATGCTGGGATTATGGATATACACACTTACACCTGATTATTTCTGTAATAGTTTTTGATTGAAAAGTTAGGATAATACAGTTTCTGTATGGTCTGCACCCATTTTCCTTATTAAGGTCTTACATTATTCTGAGACATTTGTTACAATTAAGAATTAACTGTGATACATTATGATGAAATGAAATCTAAACATTATTCCTGTCTTCCTTCCTTTACCCTCATCCATTTCTCCTTCCTTCCCTCGTTGTTTTTATTCATATTTCATTCCTTCTTTCCTCTTTTAAAAGCAGAGTCATCTAACATTTGTGATCCCCCTGCCTCAGACCACCAGGCTCTGCTACCATAGTCATGTGCCACCATGCCTCCTAGCTTTCCTCATTTTAAGCCCACTGTTTTGACTTTTCAGGTCCAAAATACCACTTTCCATTAGTTATCACTCACCTTTGTACCCCTCTAGTCTTGTCTCTGGCATTTTCTGTTTCCTTTTCCTGGATGACCTTGACAGTTTTGAGGGGTTTGAATCCAAGTGTTTCGTGTGTCAGTTGGTTGAGATCTGCTTTGTGTTTCTCTCTATGCATTTTCGATGAAAAGTCATAGAGGTAAAACGCCATGTGGGTATACCAAGTATATATGGTAACACCAGGATTTATTACTGTCAGCATCTTCTTGTCATTTGGCTGTGGTAGAGTTTTGTCATATTTCAGTAAAATCCCTTCTTTTCCATACTGTTCTCATTAGAAGAAAGCCACACGCTGAGCCAATGGAAATTTGTTTGTTACTTACCTTATTGCCCAAGGTGGGTATTTCTGATAGCTATTTTCTCTTCTCTACTGGTTATTCAGGGCATGACATTCTTCCATTCCATTGCTGCAGCATCCCCTAGGGCTTAGCCATCTTAATCCAGAGAGAACGGGGAAGAGAATGTTTGCTTTTGAAAGATTTGGCCTGAAAATGGCACATATCACTTCCACTTACATTCCATATGACACTCTTTCATCTGCCAAGCCTAATTGCAAGGGAGGCTAGGACATATGGTCGAGCTGGGTGCCCAGGAAAAGGAGGAAATGGATTTGAGGGAAATGCTCGAAGCACTGCCACTCAGTTTTAGAGCACAAAACATAACAAACTATCTCCACCACCATTAAATAATCTGGCCACTAGAAAACAGAAGAATTAAAAAAAAACAACAAAATATTTCTCAATCTAAAAGTTTCTTAAATTATAAAGAATTTAATAAAATTTATTTCGATGTCTTATTAAATTTCACTATTTCACTGAATTTGCTCTTGATCTGTAAACACTTGTTGGGCACACTAACTTGTATGTCAGTTTTTGAGAACTTACTCTCTGTGTTCCATCTGTGCTGGACTTATTGGCAGAGTCTGATTGCTGTGTTTTCTGTTTGGAATGTCTCTGTCCATCTTTTAGTTTTGTTATTTGTTTTGTCTTTTCAGATGGACGTTCTATTCATAGGCTGTGGAGATGGCTCAGCTCCAAAGCCGGAGTAGAAAATTCTGAGTTTGGTAGCATTCACTCATAATCTCAGCACCAGAGAGGTAGACACAGGTGGATTCCTGGAACTCATTGGCTGGCCAACCCAGCCTGCTTAGCAGGGCCTGAGGGAGTCTGGGAGTCCCTGTTTCAAGAAAAGGTGGAGGAAGGGGATGCCCATGGAGCAGTCCTTGAACTTTTCCTCTCACCTCCTCACTACCTTCTGTCTCTTTGTCTATCATCTGTCTATCTATCTGTCTGTCTGTTTATCATCTACCCCACACACTTCCATAATGTGAAAACATGTACACATATATGCACGTGCATTCCTGCACTTGTGAATAATACACAGGTACTTGGGGGAGGGGACCCTGTTCATTCCTCAAGTGGCAGTGGTGTTCTTGTCTAATGTAGACAGAATTAGTCCTTGCTTCTGGGGGACATCATGCCACATTGCTTCACTTGTTTAGTAGTCTCTCCCTTGACACTAGTGTAATTTATGTTTCATGCGTTAGCCTATGTGCTCCCTGAGGATAGCACAGGCTTTTCCCCTCATCTCTTAGGTTCCTAATGAGAGACTGACAAGGAATGTGTATGTTTTTCATATTAACAGGATGCTTTATATGCCCCAAAGTGGGCTTAGTAGTTCATATTTCTTTCAAATATAGCAAGGTGCTTCCCCCCACCCCCCACCAGTGAGGGCACTCACATTGGCCATCCTTTCTGGAGGGACTACTTGTGACAGGAGCCTAGAAAGGCTGGTAGGGATTGAGAGAACAGAATGGGGTGCTGTGCTACAGATGGCCTGAACTGGGCTCTGGGCATGCTCAATAGATGTGCTGGTCTCCTGGGAAATTGCTGTGGTCCAGGAAACTTGTGTTTCTAGATCAGGTAATTAAGACTCAGATTCAGGTTTAACTTCTCACTGCTCTTGGCACAGGGAGGTGGTGTAAAGGTCTAGTGCTCATTATTCTGAATAAAACTTACCAACCTGAATTCCCAACGTCCCAACAGGGGGATAACTTCACCATGGCAAAAAACAGTGTTTAATTGCAGGTGTGGAAAGAGAAGCAGGAGGAAAACAAATAATAATTTGCAGGCTTTAATGAGTAAGCCACCATGCATCTCATTACCAAAGAGGACAGGACTTCTTAAAGTGACCTGAAGCTTGTCAGAAAGACACAGGTTGAGAAACATTGTTCCTTTCCTTCTGTCATTTTCTATCTCTCAGTCTCTTCTCAGCTTGCTGTTTACATTGTCCCTTCACAAGTTCAATCCGTATTTTTACCACAACAGACCCAGGATGTGTGGAGTTTGCTTGCAAATGCTTTCTTCACCCCTTCAGCTTCTTTGATTTTCATAGTTGAAAAATGCACTAATTGGGACTTAAAGATTTGTAGAGTTTTCTAGTTCATACAGTCACCTACAGGACTTTCATTTGAAGTACTCAGTGGCTACAGTATGAGTAGAATTTTTTTTTAAATCCAGATAAGAAACCTGAGCTTCTGCTGCTGTTATATTGTTTTTCTCTGTATGCCAAAAAGATACAGAGACCCCATGCCTACCTGAAGCTGAGTGGACCATACCAGAAGTCTTTTCTAAGCTCTGTAGCCTCATAGAAGATGGACACAGTTGTTTGTTATGTAGCTGTGTGTTTCTCTGACATAGCCATGGTATGCTTGTAGGGTTCATTGGGTTCATGGAGTACAAGCATGGAAGACAAATCATCACTAAGAGTAGAGGACTCCAATGTGACAAGAAGCAAATCATAGAAGCCACCTAAGGCCCACTTAGTTTGACTTCTGGATTGTATCAATAAGGGAATTTAGATCTGCAAATGAAAAACATTTAATTTAATTCAAGTGAATAAATTGCTATTAACCAGGATCTCTGGTTTCCAATTCAGTTCCATATTCACTGCTTGTTGCTCATTTTCAATTTTCTTAGTGTATCTTTTGTTTCTTGGGACACCTTTGGTGTCATACACATTGTCCTGTATTCTCAGTTATGGTCACCAAGTCACATGCAAGGTTCCTGTTAGAACTAAGTACCTTTGAAGTGCTCGATTTACCTGATGTATTCCCAGACAGGAGAAAAAAAGTGTATTCCTAACAGATGTTGACTGAACAAACACAAAGATCAAGGCTGACAGGCCCGAATTCAGTGACGGTCCTTCCACAAACACCATTCTTCATCCTTAACTTCCTCTATGTGGTTTCCATCTTTGCCTCAGTTTCTACTACCAAAGAGAGCAGTCTCTGTTCTTCCTTATGAAATAATTAGAGCTATGGATAGCCTAAGATAATTTTCATCCAGCACTAGAGCTGAAAGGATGGCTCTATCCTTTTGTTGCTATAGGCACCACCACATGAAAATGCTGTAAATATTTATATCAGCTGATGTACAGAACTATAAATGTATTATACCAAGGAGTTTGATTTTTTTTAATTCTGTAAAATGCTTAAAAGTGAAGATCACTTATGGTTTAGTTTTTTTTTTTTTAAGAAAATGTTTATGACTTGAGGTTTGCTGCTTTACTTTGTATGAAAGAAGTTAGTTTTGCTGGACTCTTCTGTGGTGAAGGGTTAGTAACTGTGAGGGCCTCATTCTCTCATAGTTTTGCTCAAAATTGTAGTTCTTTTCAGATGAACTTGACCAGAATTTCAAAGTCCAGGCATTTCTGGCAGGTACCTGACATACAGAAATCAGAAGTCTTCCAGATCCTAATTAGGTAGAACATCAGGGAACTTAGGGGTTATCATGGCACTTTTGTTTGTTTGTTATAGTCATAAACTTTGGAGCATCTTGCAGGAAGGCAGCATATGTAGAAGAAGAGGGAATACTTCCTTTTGTAACATGTTTGTGTTTTCAGACCAAAAGTAGCTTTAATGTTTATTTACACATGACATACTATTTCCAAGTATTATGGTTCTGCCACAGGAGGAAGAACGGCATAGCTATTACTCAGAAACGACCCCCTTTCAAATGCTAATTTCAATATTTATGACATGGGCATTTATGCATTTACTTATAGAATGCATTTAACAACTTGCAAGTGTGCATTTTATAAACAAAATAAAAAAGCGAATAATTATTTCATCTTGTTTTGCAGAACCCCAGCTGAAAGGGATTGTGACAAGGTTATTCAGCCAGCAGGGATATTTCCTGCAGATGCATCCAGATGGTACCATTGATGGGACCAAGGACGAAAACAGCGACTACAGTAAGAAACACCAGCTACTTGCAATGCAGTGCAAATTGAATATGTGGCCCAACCTAGCCATGCTGCCTTTTGGACTATTTGATGATTAGTGAGCTAGTCTTCCCCCCTTTATCCTTCTTGCAGCATTATTCTCTTATTCTTTATAGAAAATAAAGCAATACTATATCAGAGGAGCTATGTATTCAATGAGAAGGTTGGACACTTGAAAGATTTCCAGTGGTCATTAGATGAAGATGTCTTCCTACTGAATTGGTTTTTGTGGAGGAGCTAAGCCCTCATAGCAATAATATAGACCTTCCAACATAAGGTAGTATTTAAATCTTAGACCCAAGTGATGAACAAATTATAATTCTCACAGGCTATTTGTTTATAGAAAACATTACTTCTACAGGCAAACACTGAACACATATGTATGTTATTTCCTTTTGGTTAAGGATAAAATTTGAGTATCATTATGATGAATCACAGTATATGTAATAGGAATAGTTTAATAAAGACTGGTAGGTCTAACATGAACTCTAAGAAGTCCTGAAATAAAAGTTGCAAATATTGAAGATTATTTAAAAATCTCCCAGAAATAGTCATTAGTGTTGACAAGTTAAAAACGGAAATACAATACATCAAGGCATGAGAGAATTTATTTGTATTTTGAAAACAACAAATACGAATGCTTCAGAGGCTAAAAGAATAGCTCTCATAATTTTCAATGTATCTAAAATCATACAGATGCCTCAGGGTAAATTCCTGGTCATAAAGTAGCTCAGGGTGTCATTTTTTTTTATAATTTTGTCCATGTTTATTGCTAGATCTGTAGTGTTAGATTACAGTGAATGAACCCGGTGTGGTAGGTGTTTGAGTATAATGGAGCTTTAGAGAGGAAATGCACGAAGGTCAAAAGTTCACTATCATACTAGGTTTTATACTGCCTTTAAGAGAAGCCTGGGCTACATGAGCCTTTGCCTCCGAAAATAAAAAAAAGAATCAGAGACACAGAGTAAATGTCCATAAAATAGCTTTAGGATGGTTTGTGATTCTGATTAAAGTGATTTTGTCAGATTGACAACCTCTCACGCTTCAAAGGATAATTTAGGAAGCTAGACATTTTATGATGTTGCAACTCTTAAATTAACAATAGCATTTGAGGCAGGACTTAAAACTCTTAAAGCACTGAGACGTTCCTGTCCACCCCTTTTAAGTTTTCTTTGTTTACTTAATATTGTACATTACAAAATATGAATTACAATAAAGAAAAGATCTTATTATAGAGAATCCCGTTCCACTTTTCTCTCACTTTTTGGCAAAGTCGTTGATTGCTTTATTGTGGTTTGCACTGTTAATTTGTGTTTCTATGAATGCTTTCTCTAAGTGGTTCAAGTTTTCAATTCAGGCAAGAAGAATGAAGAGCCCACACACCCTGTATGTAACTGTCTTCTATTGCATCTGCATTTGAATGTCCGATTGGGAAGGCCACACTTAAAAACTGAGGCAGGGAACTGCATAGCTGTGTCACTTGTGTTAATTGTGAGGTATCTTTAGATCTCAGTTTCATGTTTAACATAAGAATTAACACCAGACGTTGGTGGTACACTCCTTTAACCCAGCACTCAGGAGGCAGAGGCAGGCAGATCTCTGTGAGTTCAAACCCAGCCTGGTCTTCAAAGAGGTCAAGGACAGTCTCCAAACCTACAGAGAAACCCTGTTTAGAAAAAAACAAAAAAACAAAAAACAAAACAAAACAAAACAAAAAACCAAAAACCACCCTCCCCCCAAAAAACACAAGAAGTAACTAGAGGTAGGAATAACTGTAGCTGCATTTTCTGTCAACTTATAAAATCCATCCTGAGTCCCTGGGGACATTTTGGGAGAGGAGGTGACAGAACTGAGAAAGCTACAGGAGTTCTTTAAAATATTGTCTTCCAGATGTGAAAAGGCCATGGTAAACATTAGCATATAGCAGCCATGATCACAAGAGAGACATACAAAAAGGGCGGAGAAGTAGGAAGTGGGACCAGTTGGGAAGAAAAAGGGGACCAGAAGGATTGGGGCAGAGATAAGAGAAAGTTGTATGGACATACCTCATTTTATATAAGTAAGAAAGCATCAAACATTAAAAGCAATTAAATGAAAGAGTTATATAAATTGATGAATACAGATTCGATCTCTAAGCAAGCCAAAAAGCCATTCTCTCCCTGTTGCACAGGACGCTGCCTGAGACCAACCAGCTGTGTAGCAGTTTCTGTCTAGAGGACAGAGGGTAGCAAAGATTGTGGGATCCAAGCATTCACATCCTTCACTGTTGCTCTTAATAAGTCTTTCCTCCAGCTGCCCGAGCCCTGCAGCCACATTGGCCCCCAAATAACACACAGAGACTTATACTAGGTGCAATGCTGCTGGCCAGTGTCTAGGATTTCTTATCTGCTAGCTCAGTCTTAATTATCAACCACAATCATTAATCTATATATTTATAAGACTTTTCTTATCGAGGATGCTGGCCTTGTGTCCTGTCTTCCTGGTGGTCACATGGCGACTCCACAGACACGAGGAGGAAGAGAGCAACTTCCTGCTTGTTCCTGCTCACATTCTGAATCTGCCTGCCTGTATCACAAGACTTTACTACATTTCCCAGAATCCTCCTTGACTCCTAGTCCAGCCTAACTTGCTGCCTCATTGGCTGAACAGTGCTTTATTCAACAACCAATAAGATAAACATACACAGAAGGGCATCCCCCATCAGTTGCCAGAAAAAAATAGTAGAAAGTGATCTCCTCTGAGGCTAGGTCCATCACATGTCTGAATCCATGCTTAGCTCTACATACATTCATACATGTATGCACATATACTTCAGGCATACAACAAAAACATGGCACCAGAATACCTGATACATATGTACCACACACATTGAGGATGGCCAATGATGTGTTCTAACAAAAGCTAACAGAACTGGTTTAAACTCAGAAATTGATAACATCGTTTTGAAGTTAAGATGACCTACTGTGAATACTTCTGATAAATTATTATCAAAATAACTTAAGAGTGTAAAATCCAAAGATTAATGTAAATTCATTTGGACCAGCATAAAAGTTAATTTAAAATTTCAATACATCTGAACCTTTTGTTCAATAAGAAATTCTGCTTTCCTTGATTATCAGGCATAATAGCTTCCCCAAATTTGACTTTGCTTATTTAGTAGTGATCTACTATAACCATACATTTGGTTTTGAGTGAGTGAGTATATTTACTATATAGTAATCCAAAGTAAAAGAATAAGTAGCAAGTGATAGTTATCTAGATAGACAAACAGAAATATATGTGCATATATATCTCAAAATATCAAAACATACAGCAGAAATAAACTGGGAAGGCTTCATTGAGGCAGTCACTTGGGGTTCTAGGAAGAGTAAGTGTATGGCATCACAGAGGGTGCCCTTGCTTGAGGCTTCCAAATGAAAGAGAGAAAAAAGGAAATTGGGAGGGATACATGTTGGTGAGTGGGGATATGGAAGTAGTTGGGGAGAGAAACTGGGGTTAGATATATGACATTTCTTTGTATACTTGTATGAAATTCTCAATCATAAAGAATAAACTAAGGAAAAATTAAAAAAAAACCAAACAGTATTAAATAGAAACATATAGAGATGAGATAATCAAATCAGCAGCTCACAATATCCCACAGAAACTGGGAGGTTGAGACAGTAAACTTGAGTTCTGGATTGAGTTTCACTCCAGGGATGGATTGCCCAAGAATGAACTGGTATCTCCTTCCCACTACAGGAGCTTTTACAATACGGGCTAAAGAATAATAACCTCTGTTGGAACTGATCACCTTCTAAGTCTTCTCAAGGACATGATGCTCACACTCTTGGATGGCCTTGTTCTCTCTCTTCCCTCTCAGAGTTAGAAGGGGACAGCCTATTCCGGCCAAGGGACTTGAAGGACACTTTGAGATCAACATGTGTGGTCTCTGAGATTGGGCAAAGATCTCACTTCTAGAGCCAGCTCCTTAGTGAGCTCCAACAACATGTGACAGTTACCAACATAATGTACATTACACATACAATTTTTTTTTTAGACAGGGTTTCTCTGTGTAGCTTTGTAGGCCACGATGGCCTCAAAGTCACAGAGACCTGCCTACCTCTGCCTCCCAAGTGCTGGGATAGGTATGTGCTGCCACCACCCAGCACACACATACGGTTTTGAAAACAACCTTTTCTGCTTAATTATATGCTTAAAGCACTCTTTATATTGTTTGGCATATTTCAAGATTTTGTATAAATCAGAGCATTATCATATACATATTATATTCTGTCATCCATTTTATTGTGGCTCTGAGGCTTGTACAGGTAATAAATACACTTACTTGCTTTATCTAAATCATGTGTGTATTAAGGGTACCCCACGATGCCACATAGTAGATTACACCTTAAACACATGGGCTTCTGGGTGCTAGTTTAGATCCAAACGTGTAACCATTTTACTCTTACTTTTAAGTTCTGTGACCATGCAATGTATAGGTTTTGTTATTTTTTTCCTTTTAAAATCCCATTTACCAGAAGGTAAGGTCCTATGTGAAGAAGTTTTGTTTTGATCCTTGATTGTATTTACAAAATGGTCTATTGTGCATAGTAGACATTTGCTGGGAACTGGATGGATGGATGGATGGGTGGATGGGTGGGTCTTGTAAACAGGCTTTCCGTGGTTGACTAAATTGCTTCCCATCTACATAATGTTTACCTTTTATTTGTTTATAATTTTTATTGAATTGTTTTGTGTGTATGGGTGTTTTGCCTGTGTGTATGTCTGTGAACCACATGTATGCAATGTTCCCAGAAGCCAAAGGAGGGTGTTGAATTCCTTGGGACTAGAGTCACAGAAAACTGTTAGCTATATCTGGGTGATGGGGATGGAATCCAGATCCTCTGAAGAGCAATAGTGCTTTTAACCACTGAGTTACTGCTCCAGCCCTACCTTTGTTTTTTGAAATGATTCTAGACTTTAGAAAA